TCTTGTTCGGAATAATATGATGTGTACATGTTGCACACATATAGATTTAGATGTACATTCAAATTACAATATTCCATACTGTCCTTTTAAAGTAGATACTAATGGCAAAATAACACAGCAATTAAATAAATGTTCCTTACAGCATGCAGTACAAAAGAATGCAGGGGGCGATCAGATCAATGTCCCTCCTTTAGGACTTGTCAATAATCCTTGGTGTGCAAAAGAGGGGAGTGGTGACCTTGTCTTTAATAATAGATAAAAAAGACAAGATAGTGGAAAAGTGAGGAAGCGACCGAACAGAAGTGGTCACCCCAAAGACATGTCTACTGTCCATTACTGCAGCGGAGAGACACAAGAGAAGTGCATTAAGGTACAACCAGGAGAAAATGTGGTGATTTTTAGATGGTTGGAGAAATATAGAGAGGTACCTAATGAGGAAAAATGGCAGAGGCCGACATGGAGAGGGCGGAAGGGAATGAGAGAGTGACGGAGGGAGAGATGGAAGGAGGGAGGTGAGTGACTTGTGGGCTAAGGCTTCGTTGGCGCTCTGATGGAAGACCTGTCCAATACAGCGCACACACAAAAACATACATTGTGCAGAGCATGGGTGACTTTGAAGAAAAGCTACAGCTCCTGATAATGTGGGTTTTCCAGGAGCAAGGTCAGTGCAAAATGTTTCATAAATGCTGGCATCCTTTATTCATATGTGATTTCCTTATTATGCAGCATGTTCAAGCATAATTCTTTTGGCATGGACATACATTTGTTGCAGTCTTAAAAGTGTAAGGATCCCTTTTGCATCCACTGTGGAAAAAACCCTTTTATTTCCTATGGTCTAAGATGGAGAGACATATTTTCAAATGCAAGCTCTAGTTAGACACGCCCACACAGGTTCCTGATTGGACCCTGACAGACAAGAGAGGCCCTCCACCATTGGTCGAGCTATTCTCCTCAAGCAAATCATACTGGTGGTAGTTATACTAAATAAAACACTTTAATTATGAATATAACTACTGGGTTATATGGCAAAAATATGTATTTCTATAAAAATGAGCTTTACTTTGGAAATAGGCCACACTTCCATCCATCCATTTTCTACCCTTTAATCCATTTCTGGGTCAGGGGGGTGGCAGTCAGAGATGCCACCCAAGTCTCATAGCACCAGCCCCTCACTGACCCTCTGCAGGTGGTGAGTCCACAGGAGGACGGCTGCTCTAAGTGTGAGCATAGCCTTGATCTTTCAGCGGGGGCTTTGGGCAAAGTGGGGTTAAGTGTCTTGCCCAAGGACACAACGACAGCAGTCATCAGTGGGAGTCGGTGGAGAAGGTGTAGAGGTGGGAATTGAACCCACAACCTTCAGGCCTGAAGGCTCTACCAACTGAGCTACTGTCGCCCACACTTGTTTAATGTAAATTGTTGGTCTAACTAGTTTTAATTATTCTATGTCCCGAATGATCTAAAAAATCCAATATCACAACTGAAATCATTCCTAGTACCCCCAGTGTGGTTAAAGTCTGGAAGTATCAAAGAAAAATAGCAAAATGAAGGTCATATAATTGCATTTCAGGTTTGTGTGATATTCCATAGTTTCTGTAATGAATGTACATTAGTGTCGAGTGCTGTATTCTAATCCCAGAAAAGAGTGGTAGAACAGTATAGCAGTCCATTGGAGCATAATACAAAAGCATGGCTGCGTTTAAATGGCCCTTCTCTCCATTAATTTCTCTATTGATCTCTTTAAGGAAATGGCTCAGACCCAATGAATGAGGATAAATGCAACTATAGCAAAACCCCAGAGATGTCCGTTATGGATTATGAGTTTGCTTGACTTTGAGGCTATTTATAACTGTTATGGTCTGATGGTCCAAATCTGCACTTAGAGGGACCATATGCATATCATATTATCATTTTAAATTGTCTCCAAATATTTTATGTGTCACCAGATAATCCGAGAGCAGAATGTGTCTCTCGTTTGGTTTGACTTGCGTTTTCTTAGAATGAAAAAGTACTACATATAGAAACCCCCTTAAAAAAACACAGGTGCAAAACTATCCAAAACTGTTAAATAGATACCTGAATTTCTCCAAAATTTCTCCTGAATTTTTTCTGCGGGGATCTATCTATCTAGTTTAGTAGATTAGTAAAGTAAGATAAATAACTTTGGGCCTCATTCACGAACGGTTCTTAGGAACAGATTTGTACGTAAATCCTACTTACGAGGTTTTTACGAAGAAAGTGGCATTCACAAATTTTTCTCGTAACCAGAATTTCTCTTTGGCAAGTACAAATCCTACGAGTCCTCAGGAGCACTCGTACGCATTCAGTGCCGACATGTTCGCACGCCGGGGTTGTCCTCTTTGGTGAAGTTTAATAAAAATACAACATTCCAGTGATATGTCCGTCATATTGATGTATGTATTTATTTATTTAAATGTTAATGGTAATTTAGCCTATTTTTTAATTCATTTTGAAATGAAATGTGCCAACGCTTTATCAAATACATTGGAAATCATGCCGTGTATTAGTGACCCCTTCCTATTTATAGGGGGCATTTCTTTATCCACGGGCCACAGAACAATGGAATATATACTGCTGCTGCAGGAGGCTGCGGGGTCCGCTCTGAGTCTCTGCGCTGGTCTCTCCCATGGATCTATATAGGTCTGCACTGGTCTCTCCTATGGATCTATACGGGTCTGCACTGGTCTCTCCTATGGATCTATACGGGTCTGCACTGGTCTCTCCTATGGATCTATACAGGTCTGCACTGGTCTCTCCTATGGATCTCTACGGGCCTGCACTGGTCTCTATGGATCTATACGGATCTGCACTGGGGTCTCCCATGGATCTATACGGGTCTGCACTGGTCTCTCCCATGGATCTATACGGATCTGCACTGGGGTCTCCCATGGATCTATACGGGTCTGCACTGGTCTCTCCCATGGCTCTAGACGGGTCTGCACTGGTCTCTCCATACGGGTCCGTGCTGCACGCTCCTGGATCCAAACGGGTCCGCGCTGGTCTCTCCAGTCTGGTTTGCGGTCTCTCTTCGGTCCGCGCTGGTCTCTCCAGTCTGGTCTATGCGGTCTCTCTTCTTCAGTCAGGTCTCTCAGTCTATGCGGTCTCTCCTGTCCGCGCTGGTTTCTGTGTGCTGGTCACTCCAGTCTCTCCTCGGGTCTGCATTGGTCTCAGCGCTGGTCCGCGCTGGATCTCCTCCCAGGGTCCAAAATATTTTTAGATTAATCTCAAAACATTTTGAGATTCATTTTTAAATTAATACATAATATATTTTTAAATTTATCTCATAGCATTTTGAGATTAATCTCATCATATTTTTAGATTAATCTCATCATTTTGCTAGTTCGACTTTATTCTTATAATATTTCGACTTTTAAGTCAGCATTTTATAACTTTATTCTCAGTCTGGCAAAAGAAGAAAAAAGGGTGACTCTTTTGCTCCGTGTAACTCTTTGCTTTAGGCCTGTTGCTGTTTCCTCTGGCGTCTGCACACGGCCCTTCAGTCCCTTATATGGGCATTAGTGGGCGGTTACCTATGCTAAGTACCTATGCTAATGAAGCACCGGGCACGCGCGCTCTACTTACGAGGAGTTGGCATTCATCAATCTAAGAGAACAGCTGCAAACAATTCAGCGGCTTACGAGCGCGTTGATGAATCCCACGTAGGGTCTTTTTAGAAATCTACTGAAGAACGACTTGAGTAGAAATTTAAGAAGTTTCTTACGAAGTTATTCGTGAATGAGGCCCATTGAGAGCATGCAGGGAGTGATTACCATTTTCATTTGTTCCTGTTTCAACAGTAGTGTTGAAAGTTTAAACCAATATAACGCAATAGAAAACACTCTCTTTCTCTGATTGTAGATGCATTCCAATCAGACGATGAAGGTCGACTTGTGCTAAAGGGTAAAGATAGATCAGAGCCATAGTGCCATTGTTCTGGAGCTTATAAGTCACTGCTGAACCACAGTCCGTCCTGTGACCTCATTAGGATCATAAATCTGCTCCTGATGGAACTCAAACGAGGCCCACAAAGTTCACTCCTGCTGCAAACCTCACCTCCAGCTCCAATCACAATGACATTGATCAAAACAAAGACAGCTTTTATCATCAGGATCACTGCAAAGATGAACTAGTGTTTCAGAAAGCCATGGCGCCTAAAAGCTACTGTCAAACAAGAAGAATATTTCGATATGTCAGAGGGTTCTTTGACAACAAGATGAAATGCAAATGTCTTGATCAAGAGAACCACACACGCTGTTGAAGCTGTGGTACCTTTTTCTTTCTTTATTTTATTTTGATTTTATTTATTTCATTTAAAAACAAATGCAACAACAGAATTTAGCATGAATGAAAAGGAGCAGAAAGAAGTAAAAATGTATAATATCTGCCCCCTATCAAAACAAAATCATTTACAGTTCCAGTGCATTTGAGCCTCTAATGCAACTCTGACAATTCCGAACACAAAACACAAAATTAAAGTTACAGCTGATCCGCAGTGATGTATTTCTGCAACATCGATAATTTTACAGACTACATCGATAATTTTATAGACAGTATCAAAGCTCAAAGCATCAAAAGGAAACTGAAAAGGCTTTTTCATACGTGCAAAAGATAAAGTTTTCAAATGAGAAGAAGACAGGATGTTTCACGCCGATAGTTTCACAATATGTTTCTTTATAAAAACTCATTATGTTGGGTATTATTTGTGAAATAAAAAAAAAACACAGGTACCCAAACTTAAATAGACAGTGCACTTGAATATAAATAGTGTGATAACTTTTCTTGAGGTACACTTTTTAACATACACTTTTAGTTCAGTTTGTCATCTGCATTTGACCCATCCTACAGTGCCACCAAGGCCTCTATCAAGGTTTATTATAAAAGTTTATTATGGACAATATCCGCTCTATTCAAATGTTATCTTGTAGATGATATCTTGAGAATGGCTTGAAATAAAAATGATCATGAGTGGGAAGCGCACGCACCTTTGTAGTTGATCTTGAATCCTATTGAGCCCACACTTTCGTCTGTTTGTAGATGGAGCCACATCTGATGGGTCAGGCTTACGATCAAGTCAGGGACAAAACTTCCTGAAAGACTGAGACAAAAAAGACCAACAGGTTATTACTTTGCAACATTTAAGGTGGATTATGTAACATTGAATAGAGATGGAGAGAGCAAGTTACAGGTCAGATCTGTCAGAGCCAAACACACGTGAACATGTGTGCATGCAAGCATTCTCATAACTTAAAGGCATAAAGGAGGATTTTCTACTTCCAGGTGGATCATCAAAACTATTGGTCCTCTCAATTGTCAATCATTCTGGTGATACTGGTGCTATTTTCAGTTGTTTCATACTTTTTTTTTTAGTATGTACAGTACATCATTTCACATGAGTGATGCCTTCAGTGTGAATCTACAATTTTCATAATTAACTCGTTGAATGAGGTGTGTCCAAACTTTTGGTCTGTACTGTATATATGGACCTATCTGTGCGGAGATTGCATGTTCTCCCTATGCCTGTGTAAGTTTCCTCCGGATGCTCTGGTTTCCCCCACCACTAAACACCTCCCCTACCCCACTCCAGTCCCCTCTCTCTGCAGGGCCATGGCTCCTCTGAAAAAGTGGGACTTTCCTGGTTTGATGAAGGTCAATATATGAATACAAATATAATGTATTAAGCCTAAAATGTCAAGAGTAAACATTGCTAATACAAGACAAGCGAGCAGAAGTATATGAGGATGTAGCATGAGTGTTTTGAACAGTGACAGCAAGAGTAACAGGAAAGTGAATCAAATTGAAATCAAATGACCCATTTTTTAACGGTTTTCCACTTGTCATGCTTTTGGCCACCGCTGAGTATGTTTTAAAAGTCAAGAACAGTTAATCTTATCAAGTGGCTCATGCAAAACACTCTATGCAGTTTTTACGATCTGTCTAATTGCAAGACAGGGTTTTAAAATCATGCAGGCTGACAGCGTACACGATGGGCTGAACAAAAACGAACGGCATTCAAATTTACAAGTGCATAGGAATATTTTTGACCTGTTAAATGCATGATAAAAAGCTGAAGTCGTAGCAGGGCAGCTGTTCTCTGTAGAGTTTTACATCTCTTCCAGAGTGATGGCAGCTGTAATACTCACACTTGTAAAATGGTGGTGGGATCACCGACTTCGCCTCCGTCTCCAATAGTGAGAGTGTCATATGCGATCTCCAGGTCAAATTCTTCAAAGTTGATCTGAATTACCTGCAGTTCAAACATAAATACACAGCTGTCAGCATGATGGATGAAAGTGCATTACATTTATCATTGCGAGCTCAAGGATCATGTTAATCTATATGATAATAATACCGGCTGTGAAAGGGCAGCAGACATTTCAAATCATACATTATGAATGTCCATAGGTCTTACAAACAGGAGATATTATATATCAGAATAGAATCAGAATAGAATAGAAGATTGAAAAACAACAACCTTGAACATTGAGAACAAAACATCACAATAGAATACTGTTGTTGTCGCTGTTGAGTGCATGTGGATCATATAGTGTTTTTACAGAATAATGTAGTCTGAATCTTTAGAATTGAAAGATACAAAAACAGAAAAACAAAAATAAAATGTTAGTTGTTTTATAAGCTCTCACATTATGAGATCAATCTATCTCAGTTCATTGTTTTCTCATACGTGACAGACCAGCTCGCTCGCCACATGTATTTTTTAGGTAATTCGCTGCCTAAAAAAATAGAGGGATGAAGAGAGGCGTTCCATTGCTCTACAAACCCCTGATCAGGAATTATTAAACTTACACTCCCTGTTTCATCTTCGACCAAAACGAGAACACAGTTTGGCAGCCACCAAAAGTAAAAGTGAGGGAAAGACAAGAGGGAGGAGAGCGAGCGGAGGTAAGAGGACACATCCGGTTATAATGAGCCTGTCTTTGATGAGAGCAATGAAACGATATCAAATGTTTCAAACTACATTTCTGACTCCCAACTCCGCAATCAGCCTGCCTTGTCTTAGGGGGGACTACTTGTTTCCAAATGCAATTCTCTGCAAAAAAACAAAACATCAAAAACAACAGTCTCCACAGTGTAAAACCGTGCTGTATTTTGTGCATATATCTTGACCTTGCATTCAAAAATTCTCTTTGAGCCACACATCATAAAACCATCCTATTCATTTCAAATTCTCAGAACTGGATTTCTAGAGGGACAAGGTCAGACCAGTGAAAATGTATAAACACATGATGTGATACAAGTGAAAAGAGCGCCGCATTGTGTCTGTAGGCAAGACCCTTTCTTTTTATCCTCCATCCATCCATCCATCCATCCATTTTCTTCCCCTTAATCCATTTCTGGGTCGGGGGGGTGACAGTCAGAGCTGCACCCAGTACACAGAGCACCAGCCCCTCACTGATCCTCCTGCAGGTGGTGAGTCCACAGGAGCTGAGATCTTTCAGTTGGGGGCTTCAGGCAAAGTGGCCCCAGTTCTTTTTATCCTACGTAGTCAAAATTATACTATAGAAAACTATACTGGTTCACTCATTTACATGTCACATAAAGCTGATACATTAACATGAGGTAAGACTAGAGTGAGCACCATAGTCGCATGAAGATGGCATAAGAATAGTTGAATGAGGAAAAGTGGAGATGATGCTCCCGTGGCTCACAGTGCTGACTCAAGAGTTATCGGTGTGTTCGGATACAGATTGGATTAAAGCATTACCTGCAAAACCTGCAAAGTCTGGCTGGCAAAAGATGCAGACACATTGTTTCCTTGTGCACATTACACATTCTGAGACAGGAGCGGCTTTATAGAGATTTATGTGTCTATTTGTATAATTAGCCAGCCACCATTTTCACACCATATTTCCCTATAAGCTCTAGGTAGAGTATCTGCAGTAACAGACAAGACGGGTGCACTGACAGAAGTAAAACAGGGAATATGTACGGAATTTATGCCAAAGAGGCTTTGGGTTTGGTTCAAAGACCCTGTACTTTATACCTCCAAATAAAAAAAGAATTACCTCAAAGGATTCTGTAGTGCTTGTATCCACAGAATATCTAACTACAGATTAGATATTGAATGTGCAAAACTAAAGAAAGAAACAGATATTGAAAGTTGCAAGTTTTAAAATCAACACCCATTCATCCATTCTCTTCCTGTTTATCTGTTTCTGGGTGGCGCAGGAGTAGCCTTTCGTCTAAACAGAGACGCCAACAGTCACTTCCCTCTCCTCAAACAGTCTTCCTCCAGCTCATCCCGTGGAATTCCAGGCCAGCTGAGAGGCCTAGTCCCTAGTCCCGGGTCTTCCGGGAAATATAAACATGTTGAATGAATAAATGGAGTAATCTAGTGATGGAGATTGGCCTATTCATTGTCTGCATAACGACTGAAGAGCCTAATGTCTGATCAGCACAGTTCACACAGCATTAAACACATCTCAGATTTCTATCTGCAGTTGCACTGGGCCTCGTAGGGTGAATGTGGTGAATATGCAGACTGTGCTCCAGTCACCCACACTAACCCTTTCACCAGAGCATCTCTTTCAGGAGCTTGATCAAACTAAACACAGCAAACCCACCTTATCTAACAGGTTAGCGCTCATGCAAAAATCTATCTCCCTCTGCTCTCTCTCACCCCCGTCACCCTCTCTGTCTCGCTCCCTCTAATTGGTTCATGCATTCTTTCTTTCCATCCATCTATGGCTTCCAGCCAATGAGGCGACAGAATTGGATTTCTGCATGATAAAGCACATCCTTTGGTTGTCGTGGAGACAGAGGTGAGGGAGGCCCTTCCCAATCATAGGCCCACACCTCAAGAACAAGGGGTACACAGCAAGTACTTCACTCTTAAACTGATTTAAAATGACACTCAAGTAGAAGTACCAATGTTTATATTATTAAAGACAACTCATTTACAGTATTTCCATTGTCCCCTTTTTATAATCTTCATGTGAAGAATGGACACAGATACATCAGTATAAATCCTGTATATTGATGCAGATTTCCATCTCACTAAATATTCAACAATGCATTAAATGTTTAGTAGTCATTTTATTCCACATTAGCTCTGTTTACAGTCTGCCTTTAATTTCCCGTCAGGAGATTGCTGGGCAGGAGAGTAATGCACAGCTGCTGGCACTGTAAGTAGGCTGCATTTGAAATGTAAGTATTTGATACACCCACATGTCTGGAACATTGGTCATTTAAGCAGATGAAACATGAATATGTTTTGCATGTTGACTTTGCTCAAAGTAGCCATGGATACAGTATATAAGTAACCCAATCTGAGAGTAAAGTTTTCTCATTGTATTGGAAATCACAATTTGACACTATACTTGTGAATACCGCTCATTTGTAGACTCACATTCTTCCACACTATGCCTTTACTTCAGACGGACAATTTGCATATCTCGAAAGATGAGGAAAAAGAACATGAATGGTAAAGAGTCATGGAAGTACTGTACAGTTAGATCTTTTTAACAAGAGAACAGAAAAAAGTGTAGTAATGGTAGTACCGTCCTGAAGTCCCCAAGGTTAAACGAGAGGAGGAGAGAATGGATTGGCTCTTACGGCTCATTCTGCCAAAACTAAATGAAGCAATACCATCAGACTGCTATAGAAGACCATTAACACTTAACCTGAGTGGGAAGGTGGCAACTGAGACGATTTAGACTGTGGAAAAAAAAGGTACACACAAGGAATTTTAAAGGATATGGACAAAATGAAGTGACGCAAATAAGAACCAAAACTAAAAAATGACTGGGTTCACCTCTACCAAGGTATCCAGCAATAGTTTGACGTGAAAGCAGAACAATAAACATAACATTATAAATGATTTAACCTAAAAACATCAACATGTTTCAAAGCACAATAATACATTTGATCTCTGCAAAATATTGTAAAAATTAGAGGTATCCTGCCTCGAAGTGATGCTGAAAAGCTTATCCATGCGTTCGTTACGTCAAGACTTGACTACTGCAACGCTCTCCTAGCAGCGTGTCCCAAATCCACCATACATGGCTTCCAGCTAGTCCAAAATGCAGCCGCAAGGGTCCTGACAGGCACTAAACGAAGGGAACATATAACCCCAGTGTTGAAAGCGCTCCACTGGCTTCCTGTGGAGTTTAGAATCAAATTTAAAATTCTTCTCCTGACCTACAAAGCGACAAATGGTATGGCCCCCATCTACCTCCAGAATGTACTGGAACCATACCAACCAAACCGTGCACTCCGCTCTCAGGATGCCAGACGCCTGGTGGTCCCTAGAGTGTCCAAAAGCACAGTAGGAGGCAGAGCGTTTAGCTACCAAGCTCCTGTCTTGTGGACTCAGCTTCCTACATCTATCAAAGAGGCGGACACAGTCCCTTTATTCAAGACCAGACTTAAAACATTCCTCTTTGGATTAGCGTATGGTTAGCTCAGATAGATAACTAGTAACACTTAGGGCTATTTATCCTGCTCCCCTGTGGGCTGGACTTGTATTTTTATTATATGTATATATATATATATATATATATATATATATTTTTTTTTTTTTTTCCTATTCAACGGTTCTCAATTCACCATGCTTCCTTAATTCAAATGTTAAAATCCCTGTACATACAACTGTTTTTAATGGCCAAACATACACAACTGTTTCTAATTCCCTGTTTTTAATGCACCATACATACACAACTGTTTTTAAAGCACCATACACACACATACACAACTGCTTTAATGCACCTTTTTTAATGCACCGTACATACACAACTGTTTAGTGCACTGTTGTGACTGCACTTTAAATGAAGCACCAAACTTTTCCCGAACTGTCTTTTTTAATATATATCTTTTTTAACCCGTCATATCCACGGACTGCAGGATAAATAGTTCTCGTTTTTTACAGTTAATTTGTTGTAAATGCTTAAATTTCGTTTTTGCATTGCTGTTCACCTGTTGTCCCTCTCTCTGTTTCATGACGCGCTGGTGGGACTCGAAACCCTGACTCCCTGGACCTGAAGACTGGTCCACAGCCGTTGGGAGTTGGCGGTTCTGTGACGCCCCTTGAGACAACTGTTGTTGTGATTTCGGGCGATACAGATAAAATTGATTTGATTTGATTTGATCGAAAAGCACAATGAGACATGTTTAATGTCGTCCCTCAAGTGACCTCCTTCCTCTTGTTCCATCTCGTCTATTGTAAGGCTGTGGATCGTTCTTTAATGGAGACGACTGTGGGTAAATGTGAGGACACTGCCCCTGGGA